TTTCCTTTTCTTGCTCTTTCTGGGAGATTTTTTTCTACCTTGTCCTAGAGCTTGCTGATTCGATCTTCTGCTTCATTGAACCTGGTTTTGATTCCTTTTACTGTGTTCTTCAACTGAAAAATTTTATTCTTCATTTCCTCTTGGCCATTGTTGATTGTTTCTATGTCTTTTTTTATGCTCGTGTAATTTGCAGTAAGTTCCTTGTAGCTTTCCTGTAGTTTTTGGTGATTCTCAGTGAGCTCATTGATCTTCATTATAACCATTGTTTTGAACGCGATATCTGATAGATGACTTGCCTCTATTTAATTCAGCATTCTTTTTGACAATTCCTCCATTCCTTTCATTTGGGAGTTGTTACTTTGTATTCCCATTACTTATGAGATTCTTCTTGTTTTTCTCTGCCTTTTAAATTGATCTGTTTTGACTCCCTGAGTTTGTGGTGTGAACTTTTATGGTAGGAGACCTGTGAGATTCAGTGGTGCAGTCTCCTTGATCATCTGAACTAGATGCTCTTGGGATACCCTTTATGACATTTATGTTGGTTTTGTGGATGTAACTGGGTTTTTATTGTTTTTGGTTCATTCTTTGGTGGGTCCTACCCTCCCACTAGTTGACTGAGGTTTACTCAGCCTACCACTTTTTGAATTCTGTTGTATAGGTGCTGCCAGGAGAAAACCTCAAATCCCAGGGATCAAACCCACATATGCAAAAATATCTCCCCCACTGCAATTTCACTCTCAATAGCAAATGCACCACTATTATTAAGGGTGTAAAGCAATTAAGACTATTAGAAGAAAGGAGAGAAATAAACTACAGTATGAAACCTAGTAACTGAATATGCACAAACTTGATGGACAATAAATGTTAATAAGCTATGCAGGAAAGACAATATTGCTAATCATGGTGAAGAACACAGTGGATTTCATCTCTGTAGCTCCTAGTAGTTACCACTATTTTTCCTTTCTTGATCTGCCTCTGGTAATGTCAGATGTTGACTGTATCTGACCTTAGGCAGCTTACTGTAAGACTGGCAGGGATCTACTATCCCTGGCTGTCTCCTTCCATTGTTAATTGAGTCACTGTGCGCTCAGTAGTCAGTCTTAAGCACCAGAGAGCCAGGGTATAGTCTGTCCCTACTATACCCTGCCCTTGGCAGGGTTGTTCTTTCCCATCAGGCTACTGCCACTGGAAGGGGAGTGCTTTGCCTGAGCAGGATGGCTGCTATGGTATGGAAGGTGACTGCGCACTAGGATGTCAGCAGCTACTCTTTCAGCTGCCTCCCCAAAGCTTCCATACCCAGTCTCTCCACAGGCATCTCCAGCCCACTCTGCACATGAACATTTGTGCAATGGCCCTTTGAGTGGCTCTTTGCATCTCTATTCACCCATCTCCAACAGGGAACAACCCTTTCACTTTTCACCACCAGTTGTTATCTGTGTACTTTTTGGGCTCAGGTGCTCTAGGCTGGGAATCTCAGCTCAGGATTTAGACCCTACATTTCTCAGGGGGATCCACCAGTTGTTTAATTGTCCATCTGGCGCTGCCACCTGTGGACTCCCAGCCAGCCCTCTCATGTTTCCACTGCATTCTTTACCAGTCATTTACTGCCGAAGATCATTCTTCTCTCTGTCTAAGGTTATAAGACTTCTCTCTTGCTATTGTTCAGTTGTTTGTAATGGGTGATTTCTTTACAGGTTACTTGTAATTCCAGATTGGTCCTTGAAGGAAGTTAGTGTGGCTTTCATTTCCTCCTCTGCCATTTGCCAGGGTTATTTTTCTTTTTTAATTTAGCTACTACCTTTTACAACAACATGGATGGAACTGGAAAGCATTATGCTGAGTGAAATAGGCCAGGTGCTGAAAGACAAATACCATATGATCTCACCTTTAACCGGAAGCTAAACAACAAAACAAACAAGCAAGCAGAAAAAAAAAACAAAGACACTGAAATAGAGAACAAGGGGACAGTGACCAGAGGGGAGAAGGAAGGGAAGTTAAAGGGAAAAAGGGGGAGGGATTTGGAGGAACAAATAGGAAGGACACAGGGACAAGAACTAAGGGGGGTGGAAATGGGAGGGAGGTGGGGAGCAAGGGGCGGGGGAGGCTGGGATGGGAGAAATAGACAAAAAACCATACTTGAAAAATAAATAAATAAAATTAATTTAAAAAAACATATTAGCCATAGTTTTTAAAAGTCCCTTTCTATAAACTTTGATATTTGGATCACCTCCCTGTTGGTATGTTTCCATATTCTGGCTTTTTGTTCTTAAATCTTGGTTTTAGGACATATGATTCTGCCTATTAGTATGCCTAATTATTTTTTATTGAATTCTAGCTACCATGTAATTAAAACTGAAGAGTTTTCTGATGATGCTGACTTCTACCATAGAGGTTTTATTCTTTCCTTTGCTGATAGTGTAGGAGAATTATACCTAAATCTCTAAAGGGACTGAGCTAAATTGTAGTTTTGGTTAAACCTGGTCTGTCTTTTCTGTTACCTTTTAAATAGGACAAAGATTCTCTAGGGTTTTAAGCTGATTGCCTGGTGTGTCTTCTTTTTTACATCCCTGGAAGACCAAGAAAGCCAGTTCTACTTAAGGTTTTCATATTAGCTTTTAGTTCTGTGATTTTTGCAAATTCAAAATTCAGCAGTAGAATTCAGAGGGGGTTATAGACAAGAGTTTGAGGACTTCTACTTTTATCATTTTAGCTCTGTGTGACCATCAAAACTATCCCTGCCCCATCGTCCAGAAGCAGGCTTATGCCTGGCACGAAACTTGTGATGCCAATCTGCAGTCCATGGTCAGAATTGGCAAATGCCACTATACCACCAGGTATCAAGAAGCTGCATGTCATAAATTCATCTATGAGAGGTTCTACCCTTTCTCCAGAATTTTAGTCATTTCAGTCCTTGCTGCTTCTATAGTTCTAGGTTTTCTAATTGGTCGTGAGGGGAAAACTGGTCACCCACAAACAACTTTGTTCTACCTAGATTGAAATTAACTTACCTAATTTGATAGTATACCTACTAAAACAAAAATCTATAAGTCATCCTTCAGTTTTATTCTTTTCTAATATTTCACTTATAATTTATCAGAGGACCCTTTTGGATCATTCTTCATAACACATCCAGAATCAAATTACTTCTAACCATTTTTGCTATCAGTTTGATCTGAGGCATTATCATCTCTCACCTGAAATATTAATAACCTCTCAGCTGAATTCCCTGCTTCTATCTTTCCCATGCTTATATTGTTAACACAGTATCAAACGACTTTTTAAAAACATAAGCCAGATCATGTAATATTTTTTCAAGATATTCTAATCATTCCCCATTTTTCCTCAAAATAAAATTCAAAGCCCTTTAATATCCTACAAGACCCTAGATGACCTGGCCTCCTTTTTGATCACATCCTTTCCTAGTGCTTTCTCCCTTACATACTCTATACAGCCACACTGGACACTTTGATGCTCTTAGAACAAATCAGACACTCTTCTGGTTAGGAACTTGCCCTTCACTATTCCCTCTACTGGTTCATGATTGTCTCAGATATTTGTATTGTTAACACTTGTATCTCCTTAAAGTTTCTGCTAAAACGTCTCTGTTCCAAAGAGGCCTAGGCTGATCACCCTATTTTTAATTTTATTGGAAAAACCTATCCTCCACATAGATGTGACTTATCCCCCTTATTCTATAGTGCTTTCATGTCTTCCCATGGTGCTTCTCACTTTGAAACATACTTTATATTTTACTCTTTTATCCATTGTTTGTTTTATCTTCCACCATCACTGTCTCCTCTATAATATAAGTTCCACAAGGGCAGGATCTTTTTTTTTATTTATGGATATATTCCAAGCTCCTAGAATAGAGCCTGGCACACAATCTGTAAATTTTTATGGTGATTGAAAAAAATGTCACATATAATTGAGTCTTTTCAAATGTGCTGTCTACTTTAAAAAACAGAGCTAAATCTAATTTAGACATGTTCAACACAGACCTTCATGTATTGCTCTGATGACTCATATGAAACTTAAACTGAAATTTTTAGACTAAGAAAATCATTCAAATTTTGTTTAATTTTTTGTTTTTCAAATTCATTTGAAAATGGCTATGTATCTACTCATTTATCTGTCAGATTTAAGCTATCAGCAAAGGCCATACTATAAAAAAGGTGATAAAATCTCCAGTATCTTCCTGTCTACCATTTGCTATAGAGAATCATATGGAAGTATATTAGGACACAGGTGTAATAATCCTTTCAAAAATATAATAGCATTCTATCCTTGGCTAGTGTGACTCAGTGGATTGGGCACCAACCTGTGTCAAACTGGGAACCAAAGGTTCCCAGTTTGAGTTCTGGTTGGGGCACATTCCTGGGTTGTGGGCCATGTTGCTGGTGGAGGGCATTTGTAAGGCAAACAAACAATAATGTTTTTCTCTCCCTTTCTCACTCTTTTCCTTTCTCTCTAAAAATAAATAAATAATTTAAAAATATATAATAACATTCTATTTGAGGGATATTGTCCTTAGGAAGTTGATACTATATTCTATATCAGCTCTCTGTCTTCTGGACAATTTATTATTTTAAATATTTTAGTGTTTATGCCATTAAAGGTTCACTTTTTCTCCATTTGCTCCTCTTCACCCAGCTTACCCCCCACTTCCATAATCAGTCCCCTCAGTATTGTCCATGTCCATGTGTCCTTCATAAATGTGTTTTCTGGACAATTTAAAAAACAGATGTTTGTATTTCAATCTAATGACCAAGAAATTAGTCTGAAATAGTGAAATAAGGTATGCTGTCTAGAAAGAAAATTCTGTTAAAGGCTATGTCTCCTTCTCCTGATCAGTTAATACTACTCAACCCCTCATCTCCTTCTCCATTCTCATACCAGCCTGAATTAAAGCCCTTGACTTGAAAAACTACTATGGGGAAAATAGGAAACCTTCCATTCTTTTGAAAAAATCTCTGGCAAACAAAAAGTGACAAAATACATACAACTTCCAAACTTCAGTGGGCAGGCATGTACATCCATGGGAAAATCTTCCAAATGCATTGGACACTCAGCATGAATTGTTAACCTAAAAAAAAAAAAACAACAGAAAATGAAGTCAAGCTGAGTTCCCATGTATCAGCAATGTAGTACCCCTAAGAATAATAGGATTTTTTGTTTGTTTAGGTTCACTGAGATCTGTCTTTATGAACTCAAAGGATGGAGTAAATTAACTAGATAACCTCTCAAAACAGCATTCAGTATTCAGGCCTGTATCCCACCTTACCACCTTTAGAAAAACAGATATAACTTATCTGCCCAAGCTGAGCTCCCACAACTTCTTACCCCTATCCAAAGAAGCCTAGAAACAGCAGGTCCTGACTCATTTACTGATGACAGCAATTTAATCATTTCTAAAATAATTCTTCTTAGTCAGTTATCATGTACATTAACCAATTTAAAGATTGTATTGGGGAGGGAAGATGTGTAGAAAGATTATCTTTATCCTGATAATGAACTAGTACAAAAGATGGCTCACAGCAACTAGTATAGCTTCAAGAATACACATACATACATAGAGCAACTGGCCAAAAAAAAAAATACAAAGGTAATGGAAAGCATCAAAACCTCAGAGGTTAAATCTGAAAAGATCATACTTTCTTAACAAGGACACTATACAGAAGAAATTGTGCATGGATTCCTTAACAGAAATCTGAATGGGGTATGATTTTCCATACCCCAAACTCATTCCCTTGTATGAGTCTGCCCAAATAATCTATTCCAAGGTTTCTTCTCTGATTTCTTTCAAAGTTTTTGAGCCTCAATTTTCCTTGGCCTAGATAGTAGCCTCCTATATAGAAATGGGACCCACACAGCAAAATTCAGAGTTCTTTGGAACCTAGCTTTGACCTAGCTAACCTGTATAGACCCTGATTATATTGGATTCACTCACTGCCATGCTCTTGGAGTTGTAAGTTGCCAACTGGTAAGCATCTCCAATCCTGGATAATTGTTAAATTGGATGAATATGTGAGCCCTCACAAATGATAAAAGCAGCAGCACTAGATATTGCTCAAAGCAGGCAGACTAAAGCAAACATACTCAGGTGTTTGTTAGCAATAACCTTACCCAGGCTGGTAGGCAGAAATCAAGTGTGTGCTCTTCAGAAGATATTTACCCACCTTTTCTATCAGTTTCCCTATCTAAGCAGGAAAGGTTGGAACTAGACAGCAAGTATCCTTGCAGCTCTAAATAATCCCTTAGATACTTACAAAATTTCTTGTGTGGCCTGGAAAAAGCCTCAATTCTCAAATTAGCCTACAAAATGTCACCAATCCACCCTTTATTTTTTTAAAGATTTTATTTATTTACTTTTAGAGGGGAGGAGGAAGAGAAGGAAAGAAACATAAGTATGTGAGAGATACATTGATTGCTTGCCTCTCACATGCCCCCAGCTGGGGACCTGGCCTGCAACCGAGGCATGTGCCCTGACTGGAATCAAACCAGTGACCTTTCAGTTCACAGGCTGGCACTCAACCCACTGAGCCACACCAGCCAGGGTACCCCCTTCATTCTTAAGGTATAAAGGGTGTTTTATGACTCAAAGAGTTGGACACAAGATTAATGTATTTCACTGAGAAACCTCTTCCTTGTATTGGATACTTAAAAAACTCCATGAGTTTAATAAAGAAAATTGTTTTTTTCTCTCCACTTATATTAGTATGTTTAAGATTTTGCCTCTTATGAGTAATTCCAAGGGGAAATTACTTTACACCTGTCTACCCTGAAGTTGTGGGGACATGGAAAATAAAACCACAACAAATAGGTAATAAAAGCAAACAGGTATTGATTTCTGGTTAGAAGCAGAACTGATTTATAATAAGTTTGCCGTCTTCCTTCCCATGCACTTCTTGCTTAGGCGGGATGGGCACTGATGAGGATGTGAAGAAAAGAGAACCCCTGTACACTATTGGTGGGACTACAAATTGGGGCACCTGCTATGGAAAAAATATGGAGATTTCTCAAAAAAATGTAAAAAGAATTGCTACAGGATCCAGTAATTAGATCCTATACTCTGAACATATATATCCAAGGGATTGAAATCAGGATCTCAAAGAAATATCTGCACTCCTGTGTTTACTACAGCATTATTCACAATAGCCAAAATGTGGAAGCAACAAGTGCCCATCATCAGATGAATGCATAAGAAAATATAATGGAGTACACTTGTTGTTTACTGATTTCTTTATAATGGCCATTCTGACCAGTGTGAAGTCATATCTCATTGTACCATATGATTTCACCTATAAGCATAACCCAATCAACAAAACAAACAAACAAGCAAAAATATAACCAGAGACATTGAAATAAAGAACAAATGACAGTAACCAGAGAGGAGGGGGAGGGGATAATGGGGAAAAAAGGGGAAGGGTTATCAAGGAACATATATAAAGGATCCATGATCCATGGACAAAGCCAAAAAAGGGTAGGATTGAGGGTGGGTGGGGTGGAAGAGGGTAGGGGTGGGAAAGTGGAGGCCACTGTGCTTCAACAACAATAAAAAAGAGGGCTGACTGGTGTAGATCAGTGGATTAAGTACAGGCCTGTGAACCAAAGGGTCACCGGTTTAATTCCCAGTCAGGGTACATGCCTGGATCCCCAGTAGGGGGTGTACTGAGAAGCAACCACACATGGATGTTTCTGTCCCTCTATTTCTCCTTCCCTTCCTCTCTCTCTAAAAATAAATACATAAAAATCTAAAAATAAAAATATAAAATATAATGGAATATTATTTAGCCTTGAAAAAAGAAGAAAATCCTGCCATTTGCAACAACATCAATGATAGTGGAGGACATTATGTTAACTCAAATAAGCCAGACAGAGAAAGACAAATACAGTACAATGTCATTTATAAGTGGAATATAAAATATTCAAACTCATAGAAGTAGGAAATAGAATGGTGGTTTCCAGGGGCTAGAGCTTTGGGAGAGACAGCACTAAGTTATGCTAGGTGAATAAGAAGTTATGCATAATGAATAAATCCTAGAGATCTACTGTACAGCTGTCTTTTTTAAAAAGAAGTGAAATATTTTTATTTTATTTTTAAATTTCATTTTTCAATTAGAGTTTATATTCAATATTATTTTCTATTATTTACAGATGTACAGCATAGTGGTTAGACAATCATGTACTTTACAAATATCCTCTCAATATTTCTAGTATCCACCTGACATAATACATAGTTATTACAATATTATTGACTATATCCCCTATGCTATACTTTTCATTCTCATGACTGACTATATTTTAACTACCAATCTTTACTTCATAATTCCTTCATCTTTTTCACCTAGTTCCCTAACAATCCTTCCCTCCATCAACCATCAGCAAGTTCTCAGTGTCTATGAGTCTGTTTCAATTTTGTTTTGTTGTTTAGATTCCACATATAAGTGAAATTCTATGCTATTTGTATTTCTCTGACTGACTTATTTCACTTAACATAATACCCTCTAAGTCCATCCATGATGTAGCAAATGGGGAGATTTTATTCTTTTTTATGAGCAAGTAATAATCTATGGTATTTATGTGCCACTGCTTTTTTATCCACTTGTGCATTGATAGTCTCTTGGACTGCTTCCAAATCCTGGCTATTGTAAATGACTCTGCAATGAACATGCATATATTCTTTCTGATTAGTGTTTCTGGACACTTAGGATATATTCCCAGATGTGAAATCACTGATTCACAAGGAAGTTCCATTTTTAATTATTTGAGGAAACTCCATATTGCTTTCCACAATGGCTGCACCAATCTGCATTCCCACCAACAATGCAAAAGGGTTTATTTTTCTCCACATCATTGCCAATACTTGTTTGCTGATCTGTCAATGAAAGCATTCTGATAGGTATGAGGTGATATCTCGTTGTAGTTTTAATTTACAGAAAATAGTCTTTAGTGGGATTTTCAATAATAATCAGAAACCCCTCAAAATGTAACATTGAAATAATAATGCCTCAGCCACAGTCCACAAGTTAGCCTGCTGATTTTTATGCAAAGGCAAGACAGGAAGTAAAAGGCAATCCAGAAAATTCCCTTCTTTGGGAGTAAAAAGTATAGGGGAGAATATTATGCTAAGTGAAATAAGCCAGGCAGCAAAAGACAAATACCATATGATCTCACCTATAAGTAGAATTTAATAACAAAACAAACATGAGCAAAATAGAACCAGAAACATGGAAATAAGGAACAAAGTGACAGTGACCACTGGGGTGCAGGAAGGAGGAAAACAGGAAAGAAGGGGGAGGGTCTAGTCAAGGAACATGTATATAGGACACATGGTAATGGACAATAGGGTGGGCATTGATTGAGGGAGAGGGATGGGTGGGACAGGGGAGAACAATGGGTGGCAGAAAATTGGGACAACTGTAATTAAACAACAATAAAAATTGTAATAAAAAGAGAAAATGGCACAATGGGGATATGGATGGAAAAGAGGCCCTTTTCAGCTTTGTGAGTTGACACATACACATATACAACTCCCTCAGTATTGCCATCATTTCAGTGTGCTTTGCAGTGCCCTGACTCCCTTGTCACCCTGCCCTTTGCTGCACAAGAGTTGGTTTTTATTTCACCACAGTAATAACTTTCCTACTGCCACGGTACCCTAACTGGTCTCTTTGCTTTCTCCCTTTGCCCTTATGGTATATTCTCTATACAACAGGCTTCTAGTGCTTACTTGTCTTATACAGAGTAAAGGCCAATGTCCTTGTTATGACTTCCAGGGTCTTGCATGATCTTGTCTTCTATTCTTCTCTGGCTTATCTCCTACTGTGCCCTCCTTTGCTCAGTCTGCTCCAGTCACACTGGCTTCCTTAGTGCTCTTTCCACATGCCAGTCTCTCCTATATCAGGGTCTTCGACTTACTATGTTCTCATACCTCTTTCAAATATTTTATTATCTTCTACATGAGGCCTATCCTGACCTCCACTCAGTTTACCACCCACACTATGGTTAGCAATCCTTACTATGCTCTTTCTTTTTCTATAGCACCTAACATATAATGTCATAAAATATTCTTTCTATTTATTA